CGAAAGAACTACGGGAATGGAGATCCTGTTGGGCATTGATTTCATGTCAGTGGTTTGAAACTTACATCGTACTGGCTTACATGAAGTCACTAGCAAAGAATTAACGGGAGGATTTTTTGTCGTGTTTGAACAATTAGGGCTACTGTATCGAGATTATGGTGTAGCGTCGTGACGTGTGAACCCGCGTGTTTATCGATTGCACACGGGCTGCCATTCTGGTTTACTTTCGCTCGTGTGCGGCTGTCAAGTGGTGTCTGTTTCTCGTGTGTGGAGTAGTTTTTCTTTGTTGATTGGCGAATTTTATGCGACTTTTTCTAGCATAGAGGTAATATCTTTGCAGAAATCAATGTGTTTTCAGGAAATGAGTTCCGCAGAGGGTGAAACCGCTGTTGTTGCTCCTCAAGACGTGGAGCTGCCAGCAGTTGAAGATAGTGACAAGAAAGCTGAAATGATTGATGAGAAGAAGGAGTCCAAGGATGATGAGGTGGAACATCCCATCAATAAGCATGTTTTCTACTTATTCAAATCTATATTGCAGGTAGAGGAAAAAGAGAAAAAGAAGGACAAGAAGAAGCGAGATTCGAGATCGCGTTCGAGAAGTCGTTCTCGTTCAAGTTCACGCTCTAGAAGCCGAAGTGGAAGCAGATCAAGAAGCAGGAGCCGTGGGTAAGCATTCTAGGTTGTTTCAGGATTGCTGTTCAAAGTATAGTAACTCTAAAATTCAATTTATTTTCAGAAGAGAGCGTCGACGTTCTCGTCGCTCTAGGTCTCGTTCTCGCACGTATTCCCCAATTCCATCAAGCAGTCGTCGCGTTATCAATGGAAGAATCCACGTGTCCGATTTGACAGCATCGATTTCCAAGCGAGACCTTGAGAAGGCTTTCGAGTGAGTTTATCAGACTGATGCGTCATCTTGTCAAGAAGTGGTAATTGACGAAGAATGATAAGCTTTTTGCGAGTAGATATGGTGAACTTTGCAGCGTAATTGAATTAGCAATATCATACTTGATTTGCAGGAAGTTTGGCAAAGTTGTGGATATCTGGCTTGCTTCATATCATCCATTTTACGCATTCATCACCTACAAGAGAGACGAAGATGCAGAAGAAGCCATTAGGAAGATGAACGACTCGTGCGTAACGACTTTTTGTAATCGTCGTATGTCTAACATTATTTTTTCTTTAGGTATATCCGTCGTCAACGTATCCGCGTTGCTCACGCATTGCCTCGTCGCGAGCGCTTCGGTTTCCGCAACAACTTCGGAAACAGCTATGGAGGCGGTGGTGGCGGTTATGGCGGGTCTTACTCAAGACGGTGAGTAAACGACTTCTTAATTAACTTACACGCTTGGCGCATACGCGAGACTGCTGAAGTTCATAAATCATATAAGAAAAAAAA